ATATTTTTTACATATAATAATAGATATATCTATAATAACTGTGATAAGCTCCATGACAAATGTCATGGCAATTCTTTATTAAAAGCAAGTATTGTGCATTTGTGCTGTTTAGTAATACAGGGCGTTCCAAAAGTTAATCGCAATCGGGAAATGAGAGCTTCCTGAAATCACTTGAAGTAAAACTTGTTCCTTGGAGAAAATGCTGCCTCGCGCCAGCACCGAGCTCGCCTCTAATTGGTCAGTGTTTTTCGTTAATAACTCGTAAATAAAACCGCGAATTGCATTATCACTAAGGAAACAGTTACTTCAAATGACTTCAAGAACCCCTCATTTCCCGATTACGAACGACTTTTGGGACATCCTGTATATTAGTTATATTTTGCTCAGCTATATTTCGTTAAAATAGTGACTCATTTACTAGGAATATGCAGATATAGCAATCTACACCTTAAAAGAAAATTCAAACCAATAAACAAATTAACGGAAGGCAACTGCAAATGACGTGCTGATGTGTATCGAATTATTCGACCTCGTTAATTTCTCGTTCGGTAACNAAATTGGAGTTTTTCAGGAATGTCCTGTTTTTAAAAAATTAAAATTATTTAAATTTTTCTACCAGCTCTGTTAACAGTTACTCAATTATTGTCATAAATTAACATACGCAGTCTCCTTATATTATATGATCTTTATTCCTTTCCATTACTTTTTAAAGCAGGGAGATTAAATATATTTTATCTTCCACTATCTTATCTACTGTTCATTAATACCGATTTCACTACTTCGCTTACATTCTGCCCTTTCTCAAATCTGTTAAATATTTAATAATGATAGTAAATACTATAATATCTTCATATAATTCAGAGAAATTATGTTTTTAAAATTTTTATTTCACATGGCCGACTGACTAAAATAAAGACATTTGGAGATTCTTTTGTTTTACATATTATATATATATTTTACATATATTTTTTACATATAATAATAGATATATCTATAATAACTGTGATAAGCTCCATGACAAATGTCATGGCAATTCTTTATTAAAAGCAAGTATTGTGCATTTGTGCTGTTTAGTAATACAGGGCGTTCCAAAAGTTAATCGCAATCGGGAAATGAGAGCTTCCTGAAATCACTTGAAGTAAAACTTGTTCCTTGGAGAAAATGCTGCCTCGCGCCAGCACCGAGCTCGCCTCTAATTGGTCAGTGTTTTTCGTTAATAACTCGTAAATAAAACCGCGAATTGCATTATCACTAAGGAAACAGTTACTTCAAATGACTTCAAGAACCCCTCATTTCCCGATTACGAACGACTTTTGGGACATCCTGTATATTAGTTATATTTTGCTCAGCTATATTTCGTTAAAATAGTGACTCATTTACTAGGAATATGCAGATATAGCAATCTACACCTTAAAAGAAAATTCAAACCAATAAACAAATTAACGGAAGGCAACTGCAAATGACGTGCTGATGTGTATCGAATTATTCGACCTCGTTAATTTCTCGTTCGGTAACACATTATTTTAAATTCAAATAGATAGTTGGGCCTGCGAATAAATTATTACAACTTGAGACGCAATGTGTCAAGGCCAGGCTCCTGTAATCTCGCGCGTGTTGTTTAACGTTCGTTACTTCGTTTAGTACGGTTGCATTAGTAGATGCATTAAGATAAGTTAGAGAGATCATCGTATGCGTATACATATATGACTTTCGTGCAATGGCGATAATGATGTAGATGAACTCGTTACTCTTCGTAAAATTAGATTTCCAGGGGTCAACGAGTCTTTAAATAACTTTATCTACTTGTCTTTCAAAACTTGCTTAAGGCTTTCGAGGATTTATAAGAAGACAATATTTACCGGAGTGTCCCGTAAAATGCTGTCAATACTTTAATCGTTAATTCAACATCTGAAAACAACGACAAAAATTGATTTCAATGTGTCATCATTTTAAAATTCTTCTAGGCAAGAACATCATAGAAGACGTGGGGGTCATTTTGTGTTTTCGGTGTGATGATTAGACCGCGGATTTTATGGCATAAAATTACTTTAATTATTACATTTATGGCAAAAATGAATAGGCGTGACACAAAATAGTAGAAGTATCGAAAGATTTTAAACAACATTGTTACATTATCTCCAACTTTTCAAAATTATTAAGAGAACTTCTGTTTCTTATAATTGATGTAGGAAATTTCTATTTTGGATAATGCTGAAACACAAAATTAACTATATTTTGTACACAAATAAATTAAGTGCTGTTGTAAACATTTTTTATTGTTTCGAGGTGCTGAGTAATTTCTTGAAATATGTTCCTCTGGATTTTAATGTACGTTCGGATCTTAATGAAGTTTTAAACCCGAAATTGAAAACAATTTTGAAGTTATCACGTTCCCCCATTGTTTATGTTGAAAAAGTAATCTAGAAAACAATACATTTCAAGGAAGTAGAAACAATAAAAATCCGGAATAAATATAAAATTAATTTATTATAAATAACACTTATACACAGTACAGTATCGATAATACAATAATTCTATTGTTACACCGTAACTTCTTTTAATATATGTAAGATAATTTTAGTATTAATTGAACTTCATTCGGCTTTCCTTGAAAATGTATGTGTTATATTGAAATAATTAAGCGTTGCATTATTTTAATTCACAAGGAGTAAAAGTATATAGATAAAAGGATTTCGAAATTAGTTATCATTGTTTGAAACTGTATCACATTGTATTCTGATAAGTTGATCTCTTATATTGTTCGATCAATTAAAACGAATAATTTTTCACTCGAAACTTTTTACACAATCAGTGACGATTATTGCAATTAGTCAATGGATTCTATTTATAGACAAATTCGAAACGCGAAATGGGAAATTCTTCAACGGGATTTTAGAATATTGTTATTTGAATTTAAGAAATCCTGTTTCCCCTAATTGCTTTTTGGTTCTGCACATTTTGCAATGATATTTGGTAACTAAAATGAAACAATGAAAACATCGAATAAAGAGTAAAATCGAGAACGATTTATCATTCTAAGTTCTCAAAATTTCATCAATCCACAAGTAAATCGTAAGATTTAAGGAAAATTGAATTGTTTACGAACCAACTCAGGGAAATTCGATTAAAAATACTCGATTGTTGTTCTAATTTTTCTTACCTCTTAACTTCGCAAAACAAAAAGTAACGCGAACTTGATAATTTGCAAATTATATGTATATCAACGTTCTCAAATTCTTCCAGTCTCTCTATTATTTTCAATTCATATTTTAAGTAATGCTGTCTTTCTTTTCATCATGGATGCATAAAAATTGTAGTCTATAATTTGCACAAACGAAGAATCTTTTTATGATATAAAAATGAAACTATATAAAATCACTTATATTGTTATTGCCAATTAAACAGCAAATCAAACGAACAAAAGGTAGAATTATGAATATTCGAAAAGAATGGTTCGAGACAAACACAATAAAAACATGTGTTACATGTGTTCCTACCTCTTAAGCATGCGAAATGCATTAGTAAGCACATTCTTGGAGTAATCGTTATTATTAGACTTCAAGTCTTTACGCAGAATAAAAACAGTTTCAGTTGTTCATAATATTTCTTGATGTAAAGACATCCGTTCCTTTTGATTATCGATTTTCCGTCTACATTTTTACCTACCATATTATGTAAAACATCATTTATATCACTGTGCATTTATCGAAAAAAAACCTTATCATTTTGTTTCAATAATATTCATTTTTATCGCAAACAGACTGCGGATTTTATATACCGGTAACAGAAACGAGTAGATCGAACGAGTGAGAAAACATTCGAAGATGTAAAAATTTTACTTTCGATGTTTTAAATAAATAGAAAGAGAAGAAGTTGTAAATTACTATCGCATTATGTATAATTCATTAAAATTGTTCAGAAAAGAAATAATGTCTCCGCGAAACTTCTGCATCGTATAATTAATGCAGAAATTCGCAGAAATGCATAAAAATTGTTGAACTGCATAAAATCGACGGTGTTGTTGCTATTATTACGATTTTAATTGTCGAAAATAATCCTTTTCCTTCGACTGTTCATTTAATCCGAATGTCAAGTAATTTTATTTTAAATATATTGCGTAAAAATTAGAAAGGTGCATAAAATCCATAATGTAATTATTATTATTACGGTTTTAATTATCGAAAATTTTGCTTTTCCTTCGACCGTTTATTTAATCCCAAAATGGCAACGAACTTTATTTTAAATATAAAAAGTTAATTGCGTAAAAATGAGAAAACTGCATAAAATCCGCAATGTAATTATTATTATTACGGTTTTAATTATCGAAAATATTGCTTTTCCTTCGACTGTTTATTTAATCCCAAAATAGCAACGAACTTTATTTTAAATATAAAAAGTTAATTGCTTAAAAATTAGAAAACTGCATAAAATCCGTAATGTAATTATTATTACGGTTTTAATTATTGAAAATTTTGCTTCTCCTTCGACTGTTTATTTAATCCCAAAATGGCAACGAACTTTATTTTAAATATAAAAAGTTAATTGCGTAAAAATGAGAAAACTGCATAAAATCCGCAATGTAATTATTATTATTACGGTTTTAATTATCGAAAATTTTGCTTTTCCTTCGACCGTTTATTTAATCCCAAAACAGCAACGAACTTTATTTTAAATATAAAAAGTTACGGAGCCAATCGAGTGCTTCGAATAATGAAATGCGCAAAAATTCGAAAACAGTAGTTTAGCCGATTCGACCAGTGAACGGCTCATATATTCCACGTAGTGGTGCTCACTACGGCTTCAGTAAATCCAAGGTCGATCTATNATAATTTTAAATATTATAAAATGAATATTATTATTTGCACTGTGTGAAGGCTAAAAAGACAAGTAAAAGAAGCTAAAAACAATTAAAAACTATTGAAGACAATTTTATACTTTGTTTAAATGTCAAGTGTAGTTTCCCAATTATGAAACAGGTAGCAGCATTGGCAAGACGTATCCCACCTCCCACTACTTCGGTATTTTCATTGTCGAATTGCTGTCGATAGTAGTGGGGAACAAAGTACGGGAATATAGAGGTTGTCGATGATTCCGGTGGACGTGCGACGAGTGGGATTGTAACACTGATCATAACCTATCACCACCATTCTTGTACTCAATTTAGCTGTTGATCATGAACTGTCGTTTAAGTTTTCTAACTTATAACAGGTGCAGAAATATTTTGCTTGAAGAAAGCAGAAGATATGCGGGTCATAGTAAATGGCAAAATATTAGACATACTAAAGCGGCTATAGATGCTGCAAGATCTATGGAGTTCAAAACAATAATCACTAAGATGAAAATTGCTGTACAAGGTATAAGGAGAAAGATGAAATATAACTACTCATTTCTATTCTTCAAGATCGTACATCTATGCTTTAATTAAATTGTTATTTTCAAGAGACCGGAATTTCTGATCCGTCTAAAAATGTAAGATTAGCACAACTTGTTGAACAAGCTAAAAAAGCAAATATGCCTTCAACAACATTGAATACATTTTTTGAAAAATTAAAAATCTCCAAACAAAATGTTAAAAAGGAATTACTACTGATTCGTTGTCCTGGTGGATCCATATTAGTTTTACACATTTTAACAGATAATCTAACGAAAGTGAAACTAGAAATATGTTCAAAACTGAAGAGACATAAGTAAGGATTATTTCATTTTGTATAATAGTAATTTTATAGTGCTTGTCGAAAGGATATTTTTAAAGAGACCATCATATTATAGATTAATAAGACTCTGTCGAAAGTATTTTTATCATTTCAAAAAGTAGATTGTGTTGATCTTTTAATATCTTAAGACTACATACTTTATATTCCGTAATTATTGCGCTCTATTAAAATTACATATAAAAATACGTATTTAATTGTTTTTGATGTAAGCATCTTTTTTGATTATTGTAAAATTTCTTTCATTTTTACTGTCTGTATTTAGTGCTAAGCTTCTAGAAAATACCGCATTAAGGATTTTTGACACTGCAAGCTACATTACAACTACAAAACAAGGTGGTACTGTAGACGAAGCAATAGAAGATGCAATAAAGGTAAATGCACAAGATGTAGAAGAAATAAAAGAGGAAGATGAAACATTTTTCCAGGTATAGAAATTCATTTTAGATTTTGCTTTCATTGAACATGTAACATTGTTACATTTTAATTGTTTCAGTTTAAATATGACTTTGGTAATGCCACAGGAGGCGCATTACAATTATCTAACCTGGGGTATTCTGTAATTGACACAGAGGATCTATGTATACCTGAGAATACAGTTGAATTGAATGAAGATGACTTAAGTAATTGTAATAAACTCAAAGAAAAACTTTTAGCCATTCTAGAGGTTGAAAAAATAGATGATAATCTATTAGAATCTTGAATTTTAGTAGAATCCTTTGGATGAATTGAGAAAGATACTTATTGTTGGATTACTTCTTAGAAGTTTATCTATAATAATTATGATAAAGGTAAATAATAAAATAAATATATTTTATTAAATATTCTTCGGGATCTCCTATTATTATCAAAAATATTTATATAATTTATTCCTTATGTTTACAAAATACATTATGTACTATTACTGCTCAATAATACAAATTATTATGGATTACTGTAGCAGAGTCAGTTGCATACAGGATGTATCCAGTAATATTTTCAAACATTTGTGTTAACGTATCAAATAAATATTTGATCAATTTCTTAATTCAAGGTCATTTGAAGATCAGTATAATAGTATGGTTTTTTTATTATTCTGCGATTTAAAATAGTATGGTATCAATTAAAAAAGCCACAACCATCTCGGAAATTATTAACATACAAATGTGTAATAGATTGTGTGTGTGTGTGTGTGTGTGACGGGTGGCTAACTTTTGTTGAAAACATTTCGTTGATAAGTCACTGGAAACACCCGAAGTACAGTGATTGATATTTGAAAATACACACTGCATATAATTGAATTAAATTTGGATCTATACAACATTATTAAAACATTGAACTTTTCATAAGAAATTGATTTATTCTTCATTATATATTACTACCATACCCCTTAATTTCATCTACATTAGCTCCTGGAAAATGTGCAACAGAGTTTCGATGTAACAGCGATGTTAATATATTCTTTGATGTGATTGCTTTCGGCTTCCAAGATGTAGGAGTTTTATATCGATAGAATTTGTTATATCGCCAAGCGATACTCGTATTTTCCGTTGGTTCTGCACATTCTACATTTACAGATTCCATCGTATGAGTAGATTCTTCACTGATCACGGATTCTTTATGTTTCTCTTTCTTTGGTTTTTCTTCCTTGGAAATATTTACAAAGTTATGATTTTTATTTTCTTTGTCAGAAATTTCTTTCTTCGATTTTATATCTACATCTACATTAATATCGCTTTTATCCACATCCTTTGTTTTCTTTTTCTTATTTATTTTTACAGTTTCTTCTGTTTTTATAGTTTCTTGTTCCGTACATTCAGCGATATTGGTCTCTATTCCATCGTCGTTCATACTTTCATCAATTTCGTTGTTTCTTTCACTACCCTTCTTTTTCTTCTTCTTTTCTTTTACTTTTAAATTTTCTTGATCTTGTTCTTTTGGAGTATCATCTACTTCCTCACAAAATTCTGCTTTTGTTTCTCTATTATCTTTTTCTTCGACATTTTCAATTTTATTATCCTCATCGACAGTTTTCATTTTTTCCTCAGCTTTCTCCTTCTTCTTTTTCTTCTTCCTTCCTTTTTTGTTCGAAAAATTCTTCTGAGATAGGTCATCATCATTTACATTCTCATCAACTTTAAGTCTCTTTGTTATAATTTCATGATCATCAGCTTCTTTATCTTCTTCTGGTATTTCCACTATTGTTTGTAAACTTAATCGGTGGTTACTTTTCCTCTTTTTAGGTCTACTGCTCTTGCGTTCGTTAATTTCATTATCATTAATTTCTTCAGCTACTTCTTCAACATCTAAAGCTTCATTAATAATACCCGATGATGCGGAACTATTAACATTGTCTTGTTTCTTTTTCTTTTTAGATTTTTTATTCTCAACTTCAAATTTGTCCAGCATAACTTTCTCCTTCTTCTTTTTCTTTTTTTTCACACAGTCAGTACTGTATTCTACATGGTCATTAAACGTTACTCTCTTTTTGTTAACTACTTCATCCTGTAAGTCTAAGGCAGAATTCGCAACGCCAAATTGCATTCTCGATACTTCAAATTCTTTTCCATTATAAACTTCATCGTTTGTAGGTTCTAAATTTAAAGCAGGATTTACAAAAGCATTTTTGTAACCATCTTTGATATGGTTTTTCAAATCTTTACAATTATCATTTATGCTTAATTCATAGTCATCCGAAATCTTCCTCTTATTTGAAGATTTTAACTCAGTGTTTGTATTTGAAATATTTTCCGGGCTGTTTACTCGTAAACACGGATTTTCAAAAGCATAATTACAAGAACCTTCGGTTTCTTTATTTTCTTTAGCATCGTTAGAAGATTGTGTAGGAGTTGATGCGAAGCCAAACCCAGCATACTCGGGTTCGCTTTCTGAAGTACTTCCTTGCCGCATTTTTCTTTTAGGTGTTAAGGAAATATTTTGACTCTTTTTCGAAAAATATTCTGCCATATTACCACCGTATATGGTAATAACACCACCTCTATTTTCTTGCTTACCGAGGGGATCTGAATCAAAATTTTCCTGATTATTTCCGTTTTCATTAGTATTTTCACTTCCATTTAATTCTTTCTGACCAAATATGTTTGCCAGATCTTTTGAACTGTATCTTTTTACATCCTTTCCCCTTGTGAATTTGTGATAGCTAATGAATATAATAAAGATTTAATTAAGGAACGTATATATTCCCATAAAATAGATTTACTCTTTTTCTTTTACTTACTGAACCCGAGCTCGGCTTTGCTTAGATTTTAACTCCAAAGACTTTTCACCTGATTCAGTTTTAACTTCCACTTGGACTATATTATCATCTTGACTATTTTGGAGCTGTTGCAAGAAACTATTAAAACCATCCTGATGTTCGGTCCATGCTTTATCCAAATTGTTGTTTTTAAATCCGATACCTATTATAAACAAACAATTGTGATACTAATTTAATTGCAGTATTTTTATCAGTATTATTAGAAAAGTAATTATTTAATTCATTCATTGTAACTACAGCAATAGTTTATTCATTATTTAATTTATTAAGTAAATAAAGATAGAGTAGTAAAAAAAGATATAGATAGGAGACAGCAATATTAAATAATATTTTAAATGTTCTATCGCTACTATTATAAGTCAAAACTAAATTTACTTAATGAATTCACACACACAAAAAGCAATGATCATACTTTTGGGACTGTTAGTGAATTAGTTCAAGCCATAATCAATTTTTGCTTTCCTGAACAAATTGTTATGATTTATTTAATATCTTAATAACTCAATACACTTGAGCTATTTGATAAATGATAACATGTCACTTCAATTAGTAGCAAATAAACTGATTCAAATATAACTGTTTATCTGTTTAATAAACATTAAAACAGAAATTACTCGACTTAATAAGTCAAGTTCACATATTTAACGGTGAATATAAAGAAATAGTAAAGCAATTTCTAATGAATTATTCATATTAACGATTGAAATAATGACATTCGTTTTCTACCTGATGTGTCGTTTTTTAAAGATACACGCACATGCTTCGTCATGCCTTGTTCGTTTGCGCCGAGTCCTTTGCCGCTCGTCCAGCCCATTTTCTCCAACATTTTCTGACCAAATTTGTTGGGATCTATACGAAATAGGTAAACATTGTTCAAATTAATCTAACGAGTTATTATTCAAACACCGGCGAATAGAATAAATACATGTGTTCACGTACCGTCGCTCCATTGTTTTCCTCGTGGATTTAATGTCCATTTTTGTTTCCGACGCTGTTCCGCGAGCATTGACATATTGCGAGATCTTTTAGACAGTTGCTAAATTCAGATTATAAACCCAACATTTTACAGTTTCTTGTTGATAGTCTGCAACTAATGTTGGCTTTCGTTGCAAGTTTGGCGAAACTACTTTCTGGAATAGGTTAAGTTTAAGTCACGACGCGCTCGCATTTCTTACAGAATGGTGTTTTTTTGTGTTTTCAGTGTGTACATTTAGGAAATTTTCTCCCTAGCAACGTAGTCCCTAACTTTAGTTCCCGCCATTTTTGTATTGCGGAGCGCGGGATACTTTCGAACCATTTGAATTTATAGTACAGTAGATCTTCAGTTACAGCGGTGTCCATTTTTTAATTAAATTAGATACTTTTCTACACAAAATGAATGTCACGAAAACAATAATAGATGATACGTTAAAAAGGGTTACATCGTATTTTAAATGTAAAAAATAACAAAACAAATATTTATATTTATACAGCGGATTTTTATGCAAATTGAAGATTTTCTGTATTGAAAGAAATTGGAGTTTTTCAGGAATGTCCTGTTTTTAAAAAATTAAAATTATTTAAATTTTTCTACCAGCTCTGTTAACAGTTACTCAATTATTGTCATAAATTAACATACGCAGTCTCCTTATATTATATGATCTTTATTCCTTTCCATTACTTTTTAAAGCAGGGAGATTAAATATATTTTATCTTCCACTATCTTATCTACTGTTCATTAATACCGATTTCACTACTTCGCTTACATTCTGCCCTTTCTCAAATCTGTTAAATATTTAATAATGATAGTAAATACTATAATATCTTCATATAATTCAGAGAAATTATGTTTTTAAAATTTTTATTTCACATGGCCGACTGACTAAAATAAAGACATTTGGAGATTCTTTTGTTTTACATATTATATATATATTTTACATATATTTTTTACATATAATAATAGATATATCTATAATAACTGTGATAAGCTCCATGACAAATGTCATGGCAATTCTTTATTAAAAGCAAGTATTGTGCATTTGTGCTGTTTAGTAATACAGGGCGTTCCAAAAGTTAATCGCAATCGGGAAATGAGAGCTTCCTGAAATCACTTGAAGTAAAACTTGTTCCTTGGAGAAAATGCTGCCTCGCGCCAGCACCGAGCTCGCCTCTAATTGGTCAGTGTTTTTCGTTAATAACTCGTAAATAAAACCGCGAATTGCATTATCACTAAGGAAACAGTTACTTCAAATGACTTCAAGAACCCCTCATTTCCCGATTACGAACGACTTTTGGGACATCCTGTATATTAGTTATATTTTGCTCAGCTATATTTCGTTAAAATAGTGACTCATTTACTAGGAATATGCAGATATAGCAATCTACACCTTAAAAGAAAATTCAAACCAATAAACAAATTAACGGAAGGCAACTGCAAATGACGTGCTGATGTGTATCGAATTATTCGACCTCGTTAATTTCTCGTTCGGTAACACATTATTTTAAATTCAAATAGATAGTTGGGCCTGCGAATAAATTATTACAACTTGAGACGCAATGTGTCAAGGCCAGGCTCCTGTAATCTCGCGCGTGTTGTTTAACGTTCGTTACTTCGTTTAGTACGGTTGCATTAGTAGATGCATTAAGATAAGTTAGAGAGATCATCGTATGCGTATACATATATGACTTTCGTGCAATGGCGATAATGATGTAGATGAACTCGTTACTCTTCGTAAAATTAGATTTCCAGGGGTCAACGAGTCTTTAAATAACTTTATCTACTTGTCTTTCAAAACTTGCTTAAGGCTTTCGAGGATTTATAAGAAGACAATATTTACCGGAGTGTCCCGTAAAATGCTGTCAATACTTTAATCGTTAATTCAACATCTGAAAACAACGACAAAAATTGATTTCAATGTGTCATCATTTTAAAATTCTTCTAGGCAAGAACATCATAGAAGACGTGGGGGTCATTTTGTGTTTTCGGTGTGATGATTAGACCGCGGATTTTATGGCATAAAATTACTTTAATTATTACATTTATGGCAAAAATGAATAGGCGTGACACAAAATAGTAGAAGTATCGAAAGATTTTAAACAACATTGTTACATTATCTCCAACTTTTCAAAATTATTAAGAGAACTTCTGTTTCTTATAATTGATGTAGGAAATTTCTATTTTGGATAATGCTGAAACACAAAATTAACTATATTTTGTACACAAATAAATTAAGTGCTGTTGTAAACATTTTTTATTGTTTCGAGGTGCTGAGTAATTTCTTGAAATATGTTCCTCTGGATTTTAATGTACGTTCGGATCTTAATGAAGTTTTAAACCCGAAATTGAAAACAATTTTGAAGTTATCACGTTCCCCCATTGTTTATGTTGAAAAAGTAATCTAGAAAACAATACATTTCAAGGAAGTAGAAACAATAAAAATCCGGAATAAATATAAAATTAATTTATTATAAATAACACTTATACACAGTACAGTATCGATAATACAATAATTCTATTGTTACACCGTAACTTCTTTTAATATATGTAAGATAATTTTAGTATTAATTGAACTTCATTCGGCTTTCCTTGAAAATGTATGTGTTATATTGAAATAATTAAGCGTTGCATTATTTTAATTCACAAGGAGTAAAAGTATATAGATAAAAGGATTTCGAAATTAGTTATCATTGTTTGAAACTGTATCACATTGTATTCTGATAAGTTGATCTCTTATATTGTTCGATCAATTAAAACGAATAATTTTTCACTCGAAACTTTTTACACAATCAGTGACGATTATTGCAATTAGTCAATGGATTCTATTTATAGACAAATTCGAAACGCGAAATGGGAAATTCTTCAACGGGATTTTAGAATATTGTTATTTGAATTTAAGAAATCCTGTTTCCCCTAATTGCTTTTTGGTTCTGCACATTTTGCAATGATATTTGGTAACTAAAATGAAACAATGAAAACATCGAATAAAGAGTAAAATCGAGAACGATTTATCATTCTAAGTTCTCAAAATTTCATCAATCCACAAGTAAATCGTAAGATTTAAGGAAAATTGAATTGTTTACGAACCAACTCAGGGAAATTCGATTAAAAATACTCGATTGTTGTTCTAATTTTTCTTACCTCTTAACTTCGCAAAACAAAAAGTAACGCGAACTTGATAATTTGCAAATTATATGTATATCAACGTTCTCAAATTCTTCCAGTCTCTCTATTATTTTCAATTCATATTTTAAGTAATGCTGTCTTTCTTTTCATCATGGATGCATAAAAATTGTAGTCTATAATTTGCACAAACGAAGAATCTTTTTATGATATAAAAATGAAACTATATAAAATCACTTATATTGTTATTGCCAATTAAACAGCAAATCAAACGAACAAAAGGTAGAATTATGAATATTCGAAAAGAATGGTTCGAGACAAACACAATAAAAACATGTGTTACATGTGTTCCTACCTCTTAAGCATGCGAAATGCATTAGTAAGCACATTCTTGGAGTAATCGTTATTATTAGACTTCAAGTCTTTACGCAGAATAAAAACAGTTTCAGTTGTTCATAATATTTCTTGATGTAAAGACATCCGTTCCTTTTGATTATCGATTTTCCGTCTACATTTTTACCTACCATATTATGTAAAACATCATTTATATCACTGTGCATTTATCGAAAAAAAACCTTATCATTTTGTTTCAATAATATTCATTTTTATCGCAAACAGACTGCGGATTTTATATACCGGTAACAGAAACGAGTAGATCGAACGAGTGAGAAAACATTCGAAGATGTAAAAATTTTACTTTCGATGTTTTAAATAAATAGAAAGAGAAGAAGTTGTAAATTACTATCGCATTATGTNGTTTATTTAATCCCAAAATGGCAACGAACTTTATTTTAAATATAAAAAGTTAATTGCGTAAAAATGAGAAAACTGCATAAAATCCGCAATGTAATTATTATTATTACGGTTTTAATTATCGAAAATATTGCTTTTCCTTCGACTGTTTATTTAATCCCAAAATAGCAACGAACTTTATTTTAAATATAAAAAGTTAATTGCTTAAAAATTAGAAAACTGCATAAAATCCGTAATGTAATTATTATTACGGTTTTAATTATTGAAAATTTTGCTTCTCCTTCGACTGTTTATTTAATCCCAAAATGGCAACGAACTTTATTTTAAATATAAAAAGTTAATTGCGTAAAAATGAGAAAACTGCATAAAATCCGCAATGTAATTATTATTATTACGGTTTTAATTATCGAAAATTTTGCTTTTCCTTCGACCGTTTATTTAATCCCAAAATGGCAACGAACTTTATTTTAAATATAAAAAGTTAATTGCGTAAAAATGAGAAAACTGCATAAAATCCGCAATGTAATTATTATTATTACGGTTTTAATTATCGAAAATTTTGCTTTTCCTTCGACCGTTTATTTAATCCCAAAACAGCAACGAACTTTATTTTAAATATAAAAAGTTACGGAGCCAATCGAGTGCTTCGAATAATGAAATGCGCAAAAATTCGAAAACAGTAGTTTAGCCGATTCGACCAGTGAACGGCTCATATATTCCACGTAGTGGTGCTCACTACGGCTTCAGTAAATCCAAGGTCGATCTATCAGTGACTCAATTCGACTAATCGAAGTGACGCATTTCATCGCGTGCTATCGCCCAAGATGTACTCTTCTTATTTAACGTACTGTACTCGGTGACCGTTTTCGGCTTTATTAGCTCATCAGAACACGCAGTTATCTCGCTTGTGTTGGAAACATGATTGTTATGAAGTATGCGAGGAACAGGGGCCGATAAGGGTTACCATCCTGTAGGCAAGCAAACACTTGTTAAAATTCTATCCGTCAGTCTTATTCGCGTTTCAGTCTAGCTCTGTCGTATGCTCGCCGCCGCGCCGGATTTTACGGTACGTGGTGTTTCACAGAAATTCGAATCTTTTTCGCTAATCAGTCGAACCAGCGATTCCGGTCGTCGGAATTCTGATCAGACGTACCTGATCGCTTTGAATCACGTGTGACGTTGAACCGTTGCCAGGATTCGAGCTCGCAGCAGTTACGATGTTTTGAAAGTTTTTTTTAAACGAAATGTCCCTGTTGCGAAAATCAATCATGCTTGAAAGTAATTATGTTTAAAAATTGCGCGGATTTAAAGTTATTGATGTCTGACTTTGTTTTATGAGACAAAAATTAGAGTGCAAGGAAATTAACGTGATATGTCACCTTTGTTCTTTTTTTGTATTTCAAATTTAAATTTGACACGAGTTTTGTGTAGAATATGGGGTTCTGCCACCCTTTCAAGATTTATGTTATAGAAAACCTGTTTTCTGAATTTTTATTGAAGTTGAGACGTGATAATAAATATTGGAATGCCTGTTATTTATTTTACGACTGAAAGAAGTCGTGCAAAATGTTCGAATAAAATATCTATAGCTGAAATGAACGATTTTGAAAAATAATTATGTTCAGTATCGCTCGAATTGAAAGACAATCGTTTCTGACATTGTTTTATGTGAACAATTTAAAGTGCACGGTTTCTTCGCCATATTTAAATTCACGAATATTCTATACAATATGGTTTGGCTTTCCTCTCAAAATTTATGTCATGAATCTTGAAAATTGAAAAATGACAAGTAGGCTGCGGATTGTATGCACTTATGACAAAGATGCCACGGAAAATATTGGAACAATTTAAAAGTGCTCCTGCATTCTTTTCAATTTATTACAATTATATATATATTACATTTAATGTTCATATATATATATACGTAATAATATATATATATATATATATATTTATTACATTTAATGCAATTCAGTTAGAAAAGTTTTATTTTGCTTAAAGATCTGTAGTCTATTGATACAAAATACTAGTTCGGCTGTTATTAATTCTTTGAAAGTTTTGAAACGAAATAGGAAATCTTATGTTTTGTAAAATAATTATGTCAAATTCAAAAGCCACTCGGATTGAAAAATATTTATGTCTGGCAGAAATTTCTTTTTTTAGATACGTGGAAAACTTGTGTGCAAGAAATTTAGCGTGATGTTTCTTTTGTTTCTTTTCTATGCATATGGAAATTGACGAGTATTCTATACATGTTTCTGTTTTTCTGTCAACCTTTGAATATGTTACATAAAACTTATCGTTGTGTATATCTTAGTACAGTTGGAGAGCGATAAGAAATAGTAGAACACTAGTTACTGATTTTGCGACGAGAAGTTTTAAATTAGCGTTAGCAATTTTTCAGTTTTTAGTAAACAATTTTTGTATAAGCACGACTTGGGATATATCTATTCTAAACTTTTTATAATATTATTATATTATAAATTGTTTTCGATTTGAACTTCTGTTGTTCATTTATTTAGCATTTCATCATAATAATGCTCTTAAAGTTATCTTCTGTTGATAAAGAAGATCAAGAAGTATGCAATCGAGTATTTGTATGGGTATTGAAGGATTTGCGGGTAATTTAGATAAACGTGTTTATTATTTGACTACTGAGTGTTGTCACTAACTGACTGTCCATGTGATAGCACTCGCGTCATTCACAAATATTTGATCAAATTGACTTTATAAACAGATTTTATAATCTCGAAACTAGCTTATAACTTCTGACGACTTTAACAGCAACATAATTGGAATTAAATCAAATGTTTTAATTGTTAACAATGTTTAAATTAAACGTTCCATCGCAGAACTAATTGTTTAGAACAGTTCCAATTTTGCGAAATTAGAGTTTCAATGAAAGTTTATATATAAAGTTTATATATTTTGGAGGATCGA